GATCTATATACACCAGCTTGAGGGGGAGTGTTAGATATAGTTTTATCTTATGGGAGATATAGTTTTATCTTATGGGCCTAGGCCCACTACTTTGTATATAAAGACATCTTTTGCTTTGCAATACACAAGGAATATGTTCTCTTCATTCACTATTATTCTCAACAAATGTGATGTATGTATATTTAGTATTTTTCTTATGTTTCATATGTACTACACATGAATGAGATGTATTCTCATCCCCTATGTTGTTGTTGTGTGTGTTTGGGTTAATCACCAATTGCATGCTTAGACCAAATACAAGAATAGGAGTTTGATGGAAGCGAACCTTAATGCTTCATTGGTTATTTAGGGGTCTTGCTTTGATAATGTGTCATTGGAGTTAGAAAGTTTATGCTTTCTTTAATTTATCAATTTTATGACTTTTTGTATTGTTGGAATTTTATGTAATTGGAAAGTTGTGTTATATCCTTCTTTATCTTTTTTATTAAGGAGAAGTTTGATTTCTATCTTAATTTAAGAGTTTTATTTTATAAAGGTTTAGTGAATCATTTTACTAAAACAACCACAATTTAATTTATTTCTATGAAATTGTTTTTATTGAAATTACTTATTTTAACTTTGGAATAGAATAGTGCCACAGAAGGTGCCCTATAAACAAGCACCAACAATTATTTGGAGTGATTTCACATCATGTCTCATCCATACATCATCCCACAAATAGAGGGACATCCTCCCAATAAGGGCCCTTTGAGTATATGAAAATGATTGACATGATTATCGTATAATTATCTTTAATATCTTTATATCTCTCTATTATATATGGATAATTGTCTTGTACTTATTTATATTTTTTAGACAATGTTTGAAATGATAGCTCATGATCTTCAAACCATGATGGAATTGCAAATTGTGACCCCTAACACTATTGCTTGTGAGGATGACTAAGGAGATACAAAGGATACTAACTCAGACATAATTTTTAAACATAGACCGATAGTTGATTCAGTGCAAATATTGAGTCATTGGGTCAACTAGTGGGTCACTAGTTGAATTGTATGAATGGGTGTGTGTGTATATATATTATGTTTGTCAAATATATTCATATAAGTTTAAATGATCTAGTGGTAAAACAACTTGTCTTCAACTGTTAAACATGGCTCAAGTCTTGAGATGATTTTGATTTCTTTTATATTTTTTAGTTTTGTATTTTGTTGTTGAACATTGTGTGTGTATATGAGATCAATATTTGTATCCTAGTTGACTTATTCTATATTCTAACCTAACCTATATTTATAAGTTATTCCAAAAATTAATAATCAACTAAAATCCACTTTTGGTTTCTATATTTGGGAATGTGCAACTTTTATCACTAAATTTTTTTAATACCAATTTAGTCCCCTAAATTTCAAAATTAAGTAATGTTAATTCATCATTAACATTTCATATAAAATTAAACAAAAAATATTGTTGTGTTTGTGAGTGATATTATTTAATGGTTATTTAGTCCCATTGACTTTCATATAAAGAATAACATTTTTTCCCCACAACTTTGTTATGTTTCTTCTTTATTTCAATTAAAAATTATAATATATGAAAATATATTTTTTAATAAAATTATTTTTTTATGTGACTATCTAGTTGCAAATAATATCACTCTTATATATATATATATATATATATATATATATTTATTTGTCACCATTTTCTGTTTAATTTTGAATAACATGCTAATCATAAATCAAAATTGATTACAAATTAAGGAGACTAAATTTATAATAAAAAATTTTGGGTCCAAAATTACTCATTCAAAAAAGTAAAAACGAATTTAAGTCCTAATAATTAATTCATTAATTAATTATAAATTGCATTTGACATCAAAATTCACTAACTACATAACTATTATTTTTTATTTAAAAATGGCATAATAAAAAGCCATAAAATTACGGAAAACTTGTTTTCTTTATGTATGACATGACATACTTACAACACAACGGAAACTTGTTTCCATTGTATTGTGAAGGTGTCAAAAACTAAATAGTAATATCGTATCATTAAGGTGTCAAAAACTAAATAGTAATATCGTATCATTAAGGTGTCAAAAACTAAATAGTAATATCGTATCATTAAGGTGTCAAAAACTAAATAGTAATATCGTATCATTAAGGTTCCTACTCTCTTTTGTATTAATATCAAATGTTGTATTTATAATTTATTTTTGTCATACCTATGAAGTAAATACCAATTGTTAGTTTAAGTAAGGTTAAACTTAGAACCTGTAAATTTTAATTTTCTTTTGAAAACTTATATACTGAAAATTTTTTTGAGCAAGATTTCAATTTCAAGTTTTATAAATGAAAAGAAAACATAATTGAGAGAAAAAACTTTACTAAAAAATGTCAATCAAATTTACAGCAAAGATTGATCATCAATAAAGTTATGAATAGCACAATTATTCAAAAAAAAACATATTGATCTTCAAGTTGTGAATAACATGATTACCCAAAAAAATAAAAAAGTATACGCAAATGGATGGGTGATATATCGGGTTGCTATTCAGTTGCATCTGGGTATCGTTTTCTACTTCCGGTATTGTCAACTGAAGTGGATGAAGTTTGGAAGAAGCTTTGGAAGCTAATGATTCCAGAGAAGGTTAAGTTTTTTTCTGTGGCAGTGCCTACACTCAGCTCTTCCAATGAATCAGGTACGGGTTGAGAGGAGATTGGCAGAATCTGGTGCGTGCTTGCGTTGCTCTTGTTCACAAGAAACCATCTTACATGCTCTTCGTGATTGCCCGCATTCGCGAGAGGTTCTGATGTCTGTTGGGTCAAATTTGGAATGGTCTTCTTTGGTAATGGATTGTTATCATTGGCTGAAGGGTATTATCCTGAACAAGGATGCTATCAAAATATCCATCACCTTGTGGTGGGTTTGGAGGTTTAGGAATAACATGATTTTTAATGACGAGCGTTGGATGATTTCAGAAGTCTGTCAAAACGTGGTACTATCTACTGTTGAGAACAGTTTATACAACGTTAAGAGGCGCTTATGGGAGGAGAAGGCCCTATGGCGGCCCCTGGAACACCCTTGGGTTAAGCTAAACACTGACGGGAGTTAGTTGAGTGGGACTTCCGCTATGGGGATGAGTGGAATAATTAGAGATTGGACAGGTATGTGGCGGGGAGGTTTCTCGCGTGGAATTTTGCATGGTGATGCGTTACGTGCAGAATTGTTGGCCTTAGAAGACGGATTATTGCTTTGCTGGGAAAGTGGGTTTCGGAAGGTGAGTTGTGAATGTGATTGCCTGGGCGCTGTAAAGATTTTCCAACAAAGGTTAATAGATAGGGATTGCTTTCATAAGCACTATGATATTATTCGTCGTATTAAGCGAATGCTAGATTGGGATTGGGTGGTTTATATAAGTCATATCCCTCGAGAGATAAATTCAGTAGCCCATACTCTTGCTAATTAAGGTGTTAAGAATCTGGGTTCCAATGTATTTTGGAGGAGTCCTCCAGACTTTGTCTTGTTACCGCTAGGGAGAGACTCAGTGTCTTGATTTGCTTTTGTCTTGTTTTAATTTCATATTTTACAAAAAAAAAAAAACCCCATTTTATTGAGATTTGAAAACCGTTTCATGTTAAAAAAAACCACATTTTATTGAGATTTGAAAACCGTTTCATGTTAAAAAAAACCACATTTTATTGAGATTTGAAAACCGTTTCATGTTAAAAAAAACCACATTTTATTGAGATTTGAAAACCGTTTCATGTTAAAAAAAACCACATTTTATTGAGATTTGAAAACCGTTTCATGTTAAAAAAAACCACATTTTATTGAGATTTGAAAACCGTTTCATGTTAAAAAAAACCACATTTTATTGAGATTTGAAAACCGTTTCATGTTAAAAAAAACCACATTTTATTGAGATTTGAAAACCGTTTCATGTTAAAAAAAACCACATTTTATCTCCCCTCTAACTTTTATAATTAGGAGTAACTAAACAAGTCAATTCACTTTACTTGACCAATCAACCAGACAAAAACAAAAAAGGGAACATTTTACAACTCTTGACTGTATTATATTGCATCCATGTCTAATGTTGCATTCGAAGATATTAATTTCGCCTCCTTTCTTAAACATTTTATGGATCCACTAGAATAAAAATTACAAAAAATATGAAAATATGCAACTTCTTGTGAAAATCAAACTTCGTGAATTTTGTTCTTTCTTCCTTTCCTTTTGAAGTTTGTAACAAACATTACTTTTTTTAAAAATATTTTTAAAGCCTATAAAAAAAAAACAACAATTGCAACAATGGGAAAACTTTATACCAAAAAGCCCAAAGTCAAAACTATAGTGAATTAATCCCGTGTTATTATAGAGAATGACATGTACCTCTACAAACAAAATTATATTATAATAAACTTTGCTATAATATAATTGACAATAAATAATTAACAAAGGTTAATTCAGTTATAAACTCATATTCTAAAAGAAATGTGAATTCGATTCTTATTATCGATATGAAGACCTTAATTATTTTAAAGATTTTAAAATCAATTGCATTTATAAAAATTAAAAAAAAAATAATTGCAACAGCGATTAAACTTTATACCAAAAATCTCAAAGCCAAAACTACATCGAAGCAGCCCCTCCTAATATAGAGAATGACATGCACATCAATACAAAGAAAGTAATATATTGAAATAAATTTTGCTTAATTTGCTATAATATAATTGCTAATAAAGGTTGATTCAAACTCCAAACAGTAAGGAACAGACTCATTCTAAAAAGGATGTAGATTCAATTCTCACCATCCATGTAAGAGCTTTGTCGGTGGATAACCTCTATACTCTTGTAGAATCTTAATGTCTGTCCAAACTCTTCTAATTAAGAAAAAAAAAAAACAACAACAACAAACAAGTTTCATGACAACCCTAAAACGAAACAACCTTCATGACACCATAAAAGTTAAGTGATATTTACGGGGACAGAGGTCCAGAATTGTATGAATTTAATACCAGATGGAGAACAAGTCCAGGACGACATTCCACAACTCGGAAGCGGTCTACAGCGTCACCATAAGCCAATTCTCTATAGAATCTGCTCCTACCTAAGAATTTGTATCTATAAATACCCACAACTTTTTCTTTCTGAATGAAAAATCTCAATTAAAACTGTATGTATGATCTAGACTCTAGAGTTTCTGCACGTGTGCAAAAGTGATATAACATCTATAATTATCTGCTTCGGTATCATATCACTCAAATTCTCTCTCCTATTTGGTCGGAATAAGATAAGATGCCAAAACCTGGTACAGGTCCAATAAACATACCGTATATTCAGTGGTTGAATCAAAATGGTTTACCACTACTCAAGAATTTATTGACCAATCATAATTCTGGTAAGAGACATAAACTGGTCCATAATCTCCCAAGAGATGTGTCACAAGACCGGCATTATTTGGATCCAAGTAATTAATTATCCACTTCAATATTTCTTTCTCTTGTCCAAAATCCCCACTGAACCTGCCAAAGTGAAAAACAGAATCATAAAAAGGGGGCTTGAAGTTTAACTAAGTCAGAACCAATACTCAGAAAAGTTCAAACTGCTTACCACTTGAAAATCCTAGTAAGATGAACAGTTCTCTTCTCCAGGTCCACTTCAATTCCATCGTTCTCAAAGAACTCTCTTGCAGCACCTCTTAATTCATCTACAACTCTATGTGGTAAGAAGAACCTAACCTTTGGGCTGGACTTTGTACCATTACAAAGTCCAAAATGAAATAAAGGATTAAACTTGACAAGAGCAACCTGCAATTTGTAAGGAACAGGTTAATCTATCTTCATAGCAAATCATAGTTTATAAATTATAAATGATAAGCAGTAATTGTTACCATAGGAGATAGAAATTTTATGTTAGGATTAAAAATGAATGAAAAAGTAATACAGAAAGGTTCAGACTGCAATTTCGTGCTAAAAACTTTCTGAAAAAAATAAAACATATAAGTTTTTAAAATGTCACAATAAGCATAATGCATGACTGAAAAGAAAAAAAGTTATTTACCTCTAACCGCTTGTCTCCTGTGCTAAAGGGCTTTACTAAGGAGTATGGTGACCTCCGATTGCATCTAAGAATACCATTTTTAATAATATTTAGAGAATAAGGATGCCCTCCAATCAAATACTGGAAATCACTGAAGAAGGATCTCCTATCAATTACACCTTCTGGACACCCTACGCTAATAACAGCATGGATGACCATAGCATTATATAAATTTAAGAAGAAAGCAAGCTTCTCGTTTTCTGATAGTTCCAAAAGATTCACTCGCTGCAAATCCTGAGTCATATTTACGTACCTGCCAGTTAGAAGCGAAACAGTAAGATAACTCTTGACAATAATCAGATATTAATTAAGAAAAAAAAAAACTAAAACTACAGATGGAACCACTCCAAATAGGCATTAAAGATTTCACAGTCGGCTCGACTCAATCACAAACTATAATGGATTAATAGGTGAACATACTCGCAAAACATTCGCAGAACATTACATTAAGTATTAGCATACCTACGAAATTCTTCGCTTTTACTAATGGCCTCATAATCAACATGTTGCCTATCATCAGAGGCATAAGACTCAAGAATGGCAGACATAATCTTGGTAAGCCTCAAGCATATTGCAGCTGCAGCCTTTGGCTCATTATCATTTGTGTTACCGCGAAAATTAAAGCATCTGGGGATAAAGGGTTCATGCTCAAGGAAACGATATAAGTGATTTCCCTCCTCAAAATCATTTTCCCTGCCGAAGAAAGTTACCAATGCGGCAAGAAAATTATCAAAAGATTGCGATTCATATTGAAATGTGTTGGGTTATATTAGGCTCAAAAGCTCTTTTCTTACCCGAAAACATGATGTATGAAGTGCTTCCTGGACAATTCTTTCCCGATTTCAACAGCCTAAATATTAGTTTGGAATACAAAATATTTTAGTTCCAAGGTGTTGGGGGAAAAATCACACATAAAACAAGGATAAAATTTGGGAAAACACTACAAAGATAGAGAATACAATCAAAACACAAATTTAAAGTAGTTGGACACTTATTGTCTATGCCCATTAAAACACCTTGGTAAATATGCACTATCTTAGTGAAAGATCATAAATTTTATAGATAAATTTGAAAAACCCTTCTCGTGTAAACACCCTATAAGCTTAAGTTCTTGAATAATACCATATTTTTTGTTCATTAGAAACAAAACTCACATCTTTTAAACTGCATCTTTAATAGTGGTCCTTATTCTACTTTAAATAAGATTTATTATGTCACATCATTCTTAAACAACTCACATTATATTTTTTATAAATTCTTATACACTTCACTTTTTGACAATTTAAAAATTAATAAAATTATTATAATTAAATATTAATTTTATTAAACATAATAAATAATATTTTTTGATTTATGGAAGTGATTTTTTTTCTAAATAACATTTTTTATTTAATTTTTTTTACTTATTTTTAAACAATATCATATTATCACACTTCAATAGGAGCTGCTAATAAATATAATTACTTGATACATCACAAATGCATCAGAAATTCCCTTGGATATATAACTTCCTCATTTACAAGTATCTATTCGTTCACAAGGAACTTTATTTATTATGGTGGTAAATAATTTCTAAATGACTACAGGAATGTACACCAATTGACCACTCTTTTTTTCCAGAAGTCACTTCATTAAAAAAATTAACGCCAGTTAGGCCACAAACATACAATTAATCACCGCTCTTC